ACCAATCAATCAATCAAAAAAAAAAAGGAAAAGTAAAAAAAACGAGAAAAGCGGGTTTTTCCCTGTTTTTTTTTTTACTTTTTTTTCTCTTGTGATTGATTGATTGATTGATTGGTAGGGGATGGGTCGCCCTTCCCCCCCCCACCATCCCCACCTGATCACACACACACACACACACACACACACGCACACACACACACACACACACATACACACACACACACACACACACACACACGCACATGAACACACACCCACACGCACACACACACGCACACACACACACACACAGGGCAGTTTTTTTACTTGTTTTTTCACTTCTTTTTTTTCCACGCGTATCCTGCCACGTGTCCGAGGCCCATTCGGCTCGACCCGTTGATCGGATTTCAACGGGAAGCCCCCGTTGTACCGTTCAACGACGATTCAACTCGGACCCCGGGGGTGTACAACGGGTACAACGGAGTTGTACAAAACCTGTTGCGAGTTGAATGGATACACAGCCTCCGGGTCTCTCAAGAATGAGCGGGTCAGGAATTGAGGCAGCTCCATGTGGAGGACTCTGGACGTGCGAGGGACCTCGCCTGGTTCGGCGAAGGACACCTGCGTCCACGATTCAAAGGTCCCTTCTTCGTAATCACTTAATACTAGATTGTTTGCCAACAGCCTCGCGGGCTCACGGTACTCCGTATGGGTCTCTCGGCCGGTTACTAAACCCCTCCACACTTTAGTCTACGTGTCTTCGTTGAGGAAGATCGTAGCCCGAATCTCTAGGAACCGATCGAGGTCAGGCGGACCTCCTCTTTGCACTCCTTCTTTGCAGGTAAGCTTGCGATCTCGAACCCACACGTAGGCGCCTTCTCGGGTGACTGCGCCTTTCTCAACGCTCATCCAGTAGGGCGTCACGCGAGGGTCCCCTGGGATCAAGACTTTGCCTGCGTCACTGACCTTTATCGCCTCTACCGCCCCGTTCTCACTGAGCAGAAATCTCAGCATCTACCGACGCCGTTTTGAAAACCCACCGGTGGTATCCTTCCGGTGAGAGGGTAAAGGGTTTCTCCAGGGACCCCAATCTCCTAAAAATACCCCAAAGCTTCCTACGTGGAGGGATACCTTGATCGATACAATGCGTGTACAGTGTCCACAGGGCCCCAAAGGGTAATCCCAAACTCCTTCCTCTTTCCAGGAGTCTCACCACTCTTCCCTCGCTCTTATTTGAGAACACAAAGTCTGGGACCCACACGGTTATGGGGTAACTCGCCCTTGGGAGTTCGCCTGCCCTAGCGAACCTTTCAGCCTCCAACGCCTCAAACTCAAACTCCCTTCGGACCCTAAACCCACCTCCTTCTGACTTCCCTAGCCTCTCCGATCAATAAGTCCAGCCCACCCCCTTGGCCCAAGACCAGGGGTACAATAATCTTCGACCAAGCCTCCGGCTTGACGAAGATTATCGAGGTGACTTTGAGACGCACCTCAACCGTTCTCTCTTTCTCTTCCTCCGATTCTACCCACACGAAATTTCCTTCGACCGTAATCTCTCCTCCCTCTATTCTTCTCCAATCGGGGACTCTTCCGCTGCTTGGAAATAGGCTGCACACCCCTCGCCTGCCTAGAGGGGACTCCACCCCAAACACCCTTTGGTAACGATAGTCTCGCCTGCCCTCACGGTCTCTTTCCGACTCCAGAGAGATCCTCTCCCTGATCCGATCCGCCCTAACCTCGTATGGGACAGGGTTGTCCACACAATAGGAATAGAACCCGTGGAGCGAACGAAAGGACAGGCCCCTCCTTCTCTCCCGCCTTATGGACCTCACGATTTTCTCGTATGCGGTCCCCTCTCCACACACCCTCCTAAAGACGTAAGAAGGAAATATGGTCCGGACGCAACCCACGGCACGAGGGTATTCCTTGTCCCGGGCGCAAGTCACCCTCAGGCGGAAAGGCAGGCTATACCGAAGGGGAACTTCCTCAAAGATTTGTTTCAGGACAGGCCCAGCGTGTAACTCCCAGTGGTCCGCCCGATATCACCCTAAGGCCCAGTGGGTAACGTACTCAACCCACGCCTCTCGACTTAGATAGACCGTGCCCTCGGCACGAACTGCCGCTTGTCGGGCCTTCCCTCCGTTCCTAGGCCTATTCTTGGTCCACTGATCTCCTTCCCAAATGCCTACGGCGAACCGTGCCCAAAGAAAGACCCCCTTCTCAAGTTCCACCCCTCTCTCACGCCCCGCTAGGTATCTCTCCGTACGATGATCTAAGAGAACACTAAAGCATTCTCGCTCTTTGAGAAGGTCAGCTTTCTCGATTTTTACCCTGCCGTCTTCTACCGCTTCCACAATCCTAACCATGCCCCTCCTGGCCCTGCACTACTTCCCTAACGATCCCCACCAAATACACTTGCCGGCTCAAACCTCTAGACTTATAAGTTCTCCACAATCTCCTCTATGATCACCACTAATACTTTCCACCCGTCCGATCCATCGAGATAGGCATCCGGAATCACTGGAGCAGGTCGCCCTCCTCGCCAGAAGGTTCGACACCCCAACGTATAGAAATATCTAACCCCGTAGTGCCCTAACAGCTCCCTCTCTAGCTGGGCCTGGTCAATCGCTTCTTCCCAACTATTTAGGAAGACCTCCCCTTGGTCAGTCCCTTCTTCCACGTAAAGCGCTATATCGAAATCCCCTGTCCACATGTAAAAGATGTAGCACCACACGCTTACACCCCCACGGTTTCCCACACTAATGCGTGCTGGTTCAAACTCAAGAACCCCTAAGCTCATAGGCGCCCCACTATTTCTTCTATAATTGCGACTAATACTCTCCACCCGTCCGACCAGTCGAGATAGGCGTCCGGAATCACTGGCGCAGGCCAGCTGCCCCTAGGATAAGTCCGGTACCGTAAGGAGTAGAAGTAACTGAATCCGTACCCTCGCAGCTCACCTCTAGCCCCACGGGAGTC